CTGGGGCTGGCGGCAGCCTGCCGCGCAATAGCTGCGCTCTGGCCCCCTCTAGTGCGTTTCAAATACCTTCTGTATTCATAAATTCGGAATAAGTATTAGCCAGGTGTTACATAAATATGAGGTGTAATCATAGCTGCCGACGTGAAGGTAAAGACTGTAAAATAAAGCCTCCCCGAGAGCCTTAACTCTTCCTTTTTTATTGATTTCAAAGGGATATGCGCTGGAATAAGGGAACTATTCTAAAAGCATCAGTGGACTACATCCGTAAGCTGCAAAGAGAACAGCAACGCACGAAGGAGCTTGAGAACAGACAGAAGAAGCTGGAACATGCCAACAGGCACCTGCTGCTCAGAATACAGGTTTGCTGATAAATAAGCTGCAAATGCTCTTGATGTTGCAGTGCGTGACTGCAAATAATGGTAACTGAAGCTTGTTTGTAGGAATGTGGGTTAGAAGGAACCACCATTTTAATAAATGGTGACCAAGGCTGAGATGTCTGCAGAGATTTTTCCGGAAAAAAACCAGGATACATTAGTTCTAAAAAAAAAAAAAAAAATTCCCAACACTCTAGCAAAGCACTTAGGGCTGGTCTGGTTTTGTTCTACTATGTCCAACATAAGTTGCAAACCATACTATAAGAAAGATTTAGAAGGTAATTTTTTGTTTGTTTGTTTTGGGGGGGGGGTGCCAGACCTAAGGAATTGGGACATCATATGTGATTTATTTCTTGATAGGGATCAAATTCAGTTCAACTGTTTAGGAATATGTTCCCTTTAGTTTTCTTGCCTGTGGAGTTTTTTTGACCTGTAGCTTTAGTGCTTGTTTTGTTCTCAAGCAGTTTTGGATGAATGGCAATAAATGAAATCTTTTTGTTTTGCTTGTGGGTTTTCTAAATTGCGTGGGGACCGATCTAGGCCCTATCTGTCAGAGAAGCTCTACAGATTGCAGTCTTCTACATCTGATCTCTTATTTCTTCTCTCGATCAGCCTCTCCCTGATGTCTGCAGGAATCTGTCATCTGCTTTCTGGTGGAGGGTAAACACTGCTCGCAGGACAAAATGGGTGGGGAGGGCAGTATTGATGGCAGACACTGCAGCACTGTATTTTGAGTTCCCTGTAGGTATCTTGGGGACTGGCAGCTGTATTTAATGTTGAGGCTGCCCTGGCTTGTCTGAGAGCAGCTGCAGCGAAGCACACCTAATGCAAGTGCTCCAAGAGTTTTTGCAGTGAGGCAGCCAAGAGCTGCTTTTTTTTTTTTTTTTTTTTTGTCTGAGGAGCTATGGTTGGCTGTCTTCCTTGTTCCTTGAAGTCTGTAGGACTGTAAAACAGTTCTCCTCAACACTGAAGAGCAGTAGGTGGCATTAAATACGTTTTCTCAATGGGTTGTTGCCTTGCTAGATTCACCCAGGTTCCCAATAGCCTGTATTTACAGAGATTAGGGGCAAGAACTCTAATTAATTCCTTTGCCTTCACCTCAAGCTGGATAGAAAACCTTAACCTTGCAACATACACAGCTTTTGTTGTCAACTCTGTTCTCCAGGTGGACAAAGATAGCTGGATATCCACCCCTCTCCATAAAAGGGTAATTAAAGAAGTGTAGCTACAATCGAGTGTAAGAACACATAACATGGAGACAGTGGTGGAGCAGTCCGTCCTGTCTGTCTGTCCGTCCCAGATACTCTCATGTTGCTGCTCACCTGCAGTGCCAACAGCTGAACTCTGCATGCAGGCTGCAGTGTGCCAGGCTGGCTGCTGTGTCAAGGAGGCCCCTGAACCACAGCACAGCTAATCCACAAAGTAGACAACGAAGCTAGAAATACCTGAGAGTCAAGTGTGGAAGTAAACAGCTTTAAAATAGAACGAGCTGGGTTCAGCTTCCGTGCAGGTTTTGTACGTTGTTGAGCAATCTGTTCGCTAGAGTGAGACGATAGACGCACAACCCTTCTGCAGAGCAACATCAAGCAGTGGTAATTCAAAGCTAAGTCAGATCACTTTTTAAGCATCTTTCATCTTCCTTTGCTTTATCCATCTGCTCTGGCTCCTTCTTCAATCAAAATAACATAAAAAACAGACCCTTGAATAATGGGCAATACATCTGGCAGCAAATAACCTAAAGTCTGTATTTTCCCTTTTTGTGTTGATTCTGATTAAGCACAGAATAAGAAACTCCTGATTTTGGCATGTTAGCTGATGGAAGAAGTGCTTCCTTCTTCCACCTCCTCCACTGATCTTGCAGTGTGCCATTACAAGCTTGTTGTCTTAGCTTGAAAATGGAAAAAAGGCTATTAATCAACCTCAGTGATAGGAATATCCAGAAACAGTACAATCACAACAGTGATTGTGATTGCTTAATATAATGCGTAAGTAGAAGCAAAACATCTCTCTTACTGCTGCATTTAAAAAAGGACATTTAAGTGAATTCTTCTTTGGTCTGTGTTCAGTCAAGTGCATCTGTGTGATTAAATATGAAGGTGGGATTTAAACTTCTCATGAAGATTCAAAGAATCCTGGCTGCATGTGAAGTCTAAAGCTTTCCTATGACTTGTCTGTAATTTTTCAGTGCAGGAATAGTGTTGCTCAGTTTTGGCTGACCTCTTTACCTCCAGCTCTACCAGACTTGTAGAATGAGAACTGTCCCTTTCAGTTCTCAGCAGGAGATGACAAGCATCATGTAGACATGCTATGCCTTCATGTATGACTTTTAAAAAAGTACTAAGTGTACGCTTCTGCTATTTTTTTTTTTAAACTTTGAAATGCTTTCCTCACCTGACCTGATGCCAAACTTGCCTGCCATGGCACTGGTTTGAGAAGGAGCCCAAGGGGAAACGTTTCCTTTCTGTGGGGTGCTGGGCTTTGGCGCTTGTGTAGGTTCTGAGGAAGGGTGAAGGACCTGTGTTGGGGTGGTGTTTGCCCACCTCTTACAGACTGATGTTCAGGTGAAAATCTGCAGGGCAGGAGTGTACAAGGTGCAAGCACTTGTCGCTACTGGAAAGGGAGGAAATGGTTTGTGTACAACAGAAGGAAACTAAGTCGCAGTACAAAAGAGCGTAAGATGACAGATTTTGCTTTCAGGTTTGTTTTTTTTTTTTTTAATTTGTTCCTTATCCTCCTTCACAGGAACTTGAGATGCAAGCTCGGGCGCACGGACTGTCCCTTGTTCCATCTACAGGCCTTTGCTCCCCTGATATGGTCAACAGGGTCATCAAACAAGAGCCTGTGCTGGACAACTGCAACCAAGACATCATGCCGCACCACACAGACCTGTCTTGCACTACCACCCTCGATCTCACTGACGGTACCATCACCTTCAGTGACAACCTGGGAAATGTGACTGAACCGACTGGCACTTACAGTGTTCCTGCAAAAATGGGATCCAAACTGGAAGATATCTTGATGGACGATACCCTCTCCCCTGTCGGAGTAACTGACCCACTACTTTCCTCTGTGTCTCCTGGAGCATCGAAGACGAGTAGCAGGCGGAGCAGCATGAGCATGGAGGACACCGATCATGCTTGTTAGCATATACTTAGCACACCTTTCATAAACTGTTTTGTTTCTTGATCAGTAGATCAAATAATTTACCTTTTGTAGAATTTTTTGATTTTTTTTCCCTTGTGCTTCATCAGTAGCCCAGTGTGTGTGTGTGTGTGTGTGTATATATTATATATATATAGGATTTTTTTTAGGATTTTTGTGAAGAAACTTGTATATTCTATTTTAAAACTACCAATGCCTCCAAAATATTGTACAGCATATGTACAGTATCTGTGAACTGGATTCGCCAAGAACTGGTCAAATCTACTCAAAGCAATAGAATTACAAATGAAGAGTCTGTTTCTACTGGGGGGGTGGGGGGAATCGTAGAATTGTAAATGCAACCTATTTACTTGGAAACAAAATGTAAAGTTAAAGAATGTAAAGAAACCAAAAAAAGAAAAAAGTCCAATTTGTAATTGTATTAATTGGATAGTGCTGCCTTAAAGATACAGTGTCCCTCAAACGTTGGTCTTTACACGACAAGTGTTTAGGGGAAAATACCCACCCTACTCCACTCGGAATACAAACAAACAAACAAAAGTGTTAAGACATCCTGATCGTGTTGATTGTGATATAAAATGCTGTTGCTGAAAATTGCAGGGAGATGTGAGTCTCGGAGTGCCATTTAATTTTACTCTGAGCTGATTTGGGGTTTCCTTTTGATCATGGTTCGAGTTCTTCTCTTAGATTTTTTTATTTTGTTTTGTAACACGCATTGGTGGCTTGCCAACAGTAAACCAAGCAGGAGCACTGTAAGTTGGTATACACTCTTTGGACAAAAAAAGTTGATACATTTTATCAGCTGGGCACATTACGTTGTACATATCTAATTGGCTTTATTTTTTTTTAAATTGCATTGTACAGTTTATTTTGATTTGCATGGATTCCTTAGTTATCCTCAACTTTTTGTTTTAAATATATTTGTATTTCATTTGTAAGATTTTTGCCTCTTAATATTGCAACAATTTTTTGACATTTTTAAAACTCATTGGAAGTTTTCTGCGTTCTTTGTAAACACTTGAAAGGAAGCTTTTATGCAGGGTTCTGTGTTTTAAGAGAGATTTTGAGAATATTTTGTATATTACAGTCTCACTTTGAAAATGTTTTTAAACACGTTTAAGGTAGAGTACAAATTTAGATTAGGTAATAAAACAACTCTGTAGAGAAACTGAACTTACATATTTATTTTTAGTGATACAGAAAAAGATAGTAATATGCTTGGAAACATAACTATGTAGTTAATATACCCGTTATAGTAATTTGTGTTTTATTTCAGCACTGGGGCTGACATAAGAAAAAAACAAAAAAAAGAGTAAATTACTGTATCTGCAAATAACTGTTACTTGATAACAATGTTATTAATTTTTAACATGCAACAATGTTGTAAAAGTAGTTCAGTGCATTATCTACTCAAGTGTAGTCCTATGCAATAACGGTAGTTATACTTGTATTATATCAAGCCTAGGTGTTTTACAGAGGTGACGTGGTGTTACGAGCTAGACGGATTGAATGGATTTCTCAATAGCAGCCTACAGCTGACTCGCAAGCGGCAGGCAAGCGTATCTCGTTCAGAATGAAGTGCCTTAAACTCTAGTTGTAGTCTTCCTCGACTAGCACTGACTGAAGTGTGGCATAGGAGAGAGCTTTAGGGTGATGTTTTATACGACGTTGAAGTGTAGCATGGTGCCTACGTATAGAAAACAAGAGCTTCCCGTTCTCCTTTGTGCTACACTGGACATTACATAGGATAAGTGAAGCGGTTAGTGACTTGAGTGCCAGTTTGGCAGGCTTTATAGGGAAAACTTGGTCGCAGCAGTTCGTGTTCAGAAATCAAATGTGAATTGGGTAGCGATGGGACAGCTGGGGACAGCGTCGGGAGCTCCCGTAGCCTGCGGCGTGGCTCGCTGAGCTTTCACCCAAACGTTTCCCCATGGACGGGTTCTCGAAGCGTCCCCTGCCCGGCACCGCTCCTCCTGGCGCCGATGGCGAGGGGCGCGGGGCTCGGCGGGGACGCAGCGTGCTGTTACGGTACTCTGGGCTCTGCGTTCGTGTCGCTCTTTCTGTGGCTGTTGCTGGCTGCGTCCGGCCATCTCCATTTCTGCTTGAGCAGCGAACTATGTGTTAGCATTGATGCAACCACCAGGTTGTGGCTTTTTTTTATTTTTATTTTTTTTATTTTTTGAAGGAGGAGCTGGAGTTAGATAATAATGATGCCTCTCCCCCCACCACCACCCCGGACAGCTTTTGGGAGTGTGTCTTTCCTAGGGTAGTGAAGCTCTGGCCCAGGGCAGGACCCGGGAGCCTGCAGGATGCACCGTGGCCCTTGCGGTCCTCAGGCAGGGAAATTCCCCGCAAAGCAGCTACGCTGTAGTTAGCTCCGAGTCGAGTATGCGGGTATGGGCGTCTGGTGCTGCCGTTCGGTAATGTTGACATGTAAAGAAAATCAGGGCTGTAAAATGCTTGTAGCTGTGACACAGGGTCGCGTTACCCTTCCCCGTTAAAATGGGACAGCTCTGCAGCATTGTACAAAATCAGGGTGTGTACGCTTGAGCGTAGTAACTGAAAACCACTGAATATATTGAATAAGGCTTTTGGTTTCGTGCCCATCCTAGGCATTCAGCAATTGAAGTCTAGACTGTGGTATATCAATATTTTTCAAGCTTATGTGAAACACTGGTACTCGCTGACAGCCACGACTTCCGATTTTTGGCTACGTGCTGTGTGGAGATGAGTTAGGATTCAAGGAAAGCCGTTATATCAAGAGCTGGATTTCTTGATAACAGTCGCTGTGGCCCCAGCAGCTGCGTTGTGAGTTCCCCATACGTTGTGTTGCTCTGGGGTAACATACGGCTCGGCTGCGCCCTGCTCACTCTTCACCCCGTGTTTCCTTAGGCTACAGCCCTGCTCTGAGTTTGCCCACCCCGCGAGTGGAGGCACGTTGACGCTGCGGTGGGGACACCTCTAGGAGACGCGGACCTCCGGGCGGGTGCGAATTGGGGATGTCTTTGCCCGTTTGCGCGCGGTGGAACGCGCGGCCGTGACGTTTTACAGGGGGTCAATGGCAGAGGACAGAGACGGCGATTAGAGGCAGGGTTTGGCATGAACTAGGTGGAGTGAGATGGACAGAAGTTGTTGCCCGGTCCGATGACGGTGTCTTGCGCGACGCTGGGCCAGCGGTGGCTTCCCTGAGCGGGGTGTCGGGATACCTACCAGTTCTCACTTTGCCAAAGCCATGCAACAAGCAGGAACATGCAGAGTACCATGAAGTTCTTCCTTACTGCTTTTGGCCTACAAAGCAATATTTAACTCTTACAACCTGTAAAAGCAAAAAGAAGGTACATAAGGAAAGCACAAAGCACAAAATAATGCACTTACATTTATGTTGTTTGACATAAAATGCACTGGGGGGAAGCTGGTGTTGATAATAGTATAAATACCTATATTTCTTGAAAAAGTGACATTAATTACTGCCTCTTGCTATGATGCTTGGTACTGTAATGTTGATATTCATCTGCTGTTGACTGCAGCAATAATTTGTGTATGGTCCATAGCACTGTAAATTATGGATCAATATTAATGTATCCAATGAAATAATTTGAACTGTTGTTCTTGATAGATGGATTAAAGCATTTGGTTTTTCACATACGTCTGTGTAAGCCACTCGTTTTCCGTGTAAGTGAATCTTGTTTTTCTGTCCATTTGAAGACCCAGCAGCGCTCCTGTGTTTGTGACTTGGCGGTGGATGTGTCCGTGTTCCTGACCCGGTGTCCGTCAGCAACCCTGGTTGCACCAGAGCTGTCCGGTTGTGTTTGTGTTGCGGTAGCACGAGGGGCACGGAGCTACGGATCAGGCCCCACGTGGGCTTTGCAAATACACGCCAGAGCGGATAGACCCAAAGCTCACGGTCCAGCACAAGGAACAAAACAAGTGGACATGGAAAAATGACATTCCCTCTCTCCCCTCCCGCGGGCTCTTGCCTTTCGCCTCCCTCCCTTCTCAAAGGGGTGTCTGCCAAAACCACCCTCGGCTGTGTTGCCCTTCGCCTCCCACCAGCTGCCTTGTGTCAGGCACGGGCTCGGTGAGGCTCCCTACACCTCTCCACCACGCTGTCACTCCTGCAAAGTCACCTACCCCCAGCAGTCCCGCACAGAACCTCCCTGCCTTCTCCGGCTGACCCGTGCACGGAGAGATCCCGGTCCTCGCTCTGCTCGCCCCTGGGTCGCTCCTCTGAAACCTCTGCTCGCCCAGCGTGCAAACAACTGCTCCTGGATTGCGCTGGGAGCTGCAGCTAGTGCTGGGCAGGAACCAGCTGGGGTCTTGTTTTGTCTTCCCATCTTCGTTATTTTTTCTCTGTCTCTCTGTTGCTTTCATCCCTTCTGGTCTTGTTCTTCGACAGGCTGTCGCTTACTGTGCTCACAGCGTGGAGTCCTCGACATCTCTGTGGACATTGCTGCAGCAGCAGTGGTGGCTAATGCGTATTATCTCGTGGCTTTTAAGCCCTGAATGCAAACAACAGAAGTTTTGAATTTGGCCCGTCTTGAAAATCTGATCCCTATTAGGAGTAGAAAATACTTAATTCAGTTGCAATTAAAAATTATTAGCTGTCCTGCGTTGCTCAATTTAAAAACCAACCAAATGAAAAACGCTGGGCGAAGCTACCTGACTCTGCTAGGAACAGAGCAGAAAAGCCCTGCGCCCTTTTTGTAGAAGATACCAGAGTTGAAGCTTGTGTTTCCAGCAGGCTTTGTAATGCTATTTCTTTAGAAATTCAGCACCTTATTAGAATGTGGCTTTGTAGTACTGCAATGGGAAATCTATTTATCAGCAGTCTAGGGTATAATTTATAATTTAAGTTTCAGGTTTTTAGGTGTATTTTGGCTTTCCTTTTGGTGGTCGGTTGTGCCAGCGCTGCATTTCGGGAGCGGATTTCTTGGTGGTGGGAGCAGCTCTGGTTTCGGCTGGGCTGCAGAACCCGGGCGGAGCAGGAAGAAAACCCGTGGTGGGGGTAATGGCTGTAAGCAGTTGCTCAACGTGTGTCAGCAGAGGTGGTAGCAGGTCTGCTTAGAAGCCTTTTAGTTCCTTTGGACAAGCCTGAAAACTTCTGTGCGGGGTAAGAAAGTGGCTGTTAAAGGCCTGGTGGGGTCTGGTTTGCTGCAAAGCCCTGCGGCCGGGCTGCGGGATGCCGTGGGGCTCGGCTGCG